CCTATTTCATTTTCGTCGATATATATATATATATTTTTTTTTTTTTTTTTTTTTTCAAAACTGACCGAATTATTTTCATTGCACACATCCGCGTAGTATGAAACGCAACTAAAGTAACGAATAAAGAAAATAAATACGTCTGAGAGAGACGTTCGTGGTGTGACAGAGACGAGAGTCGTTTATTGCAAAAAAGTAAATCGATCGATCGACACTGCAACAATTCCCCTACGTCTTTCGCGACACGAAAAGTGGAAAAGGAGATGAAAGGAAGAGAGAGAAAGAGAGCGACGTTTGCAAGAAATAATCGCGATACGCAACTCGAGAAAGCCGACTGACGCGTAATTCCGTCGTGGGATCGTATGAAATTAAGCGGATATTGCTGGTCATTAGCGGTCGTTATCACAGTATATCGCTGATTCTACTTAATACGTACGCTTTGCTCTCTCTCCCTCTCTCTCTCTCTCTCTTTTCCTTTCATCGATCGAAATGGCACCGCGCAATCTTCCGACGTCGTCGTCTAACCACCCGAACCAGTTTCGCTCGCAGACGAGGGCTCGAGATGGTGATCTTTCGAGGCCTGAGAAGCCTGATAATATTTACAGGATCGAAAGAAAAAACATATCAAGTATATCTTCTCTCCCTATCTCTCGTTCCTTCTAAAAATTAACATACGTTTCTAAGATCAACGTGTTTGCAGTTTTCCCTCCTTAAATAATGTTAAAGTTGCACATTAGCTTTTCCTTAAATAAGTCCATCTCTCAAACACAGCGTCTCGCGACAAATTCCGCGTGATCTCGCGCGATCTATACGGAACTTAAAGTAAACAAAAGTAACGTCCCTGTCATTCTCGGCTAGAAAATCTCTGGACCTCCCTTCTTGCAAAAAGTACAGCTTGCAATATGTATATAAAATATTTATATATATATATATTTATATAATATATATAAAAAAAGAGATTAAAAACCATTAATCCGACATCGCTACCCCTTCGTTCGCGACACTCGAATATATACGTATTATTTATATCACACGGCGGATTTTGTGACTGCGAGATTAGAATATAATAAGCATAAGCACTAATAGTCAATTATCGATAATAGTGTATAAAAAAGGAGACTCCTATAATATCGGATATGAAAAAACGGAGTGACAAAAGTTCGTACAGTCGACGGGATACAGCGTAATAAAAAAACAGAGGTCAAAACTCTATGATGATACTAACTAATAAAATGCACCATACGCAATATCTCTCTCTTATAAACTTAATAATAATAATAATAATAATATATATATATATAATATAATATAATTATTATATATATAAAATAGTAATATAATATATAATATTAATAATAATAAAATAATAATAATAATAGTAAATAATATATATGATGATACAATTTTATCGAGTATATCGTAATAATAATAATAATAATAATAATAATAATATTAATAATAATAAAGAAAACAAATATCTGTTTTTATCTACACATTGTCTACAACAGTTATTATCTTCTTTTTCGCATTCTTCAGTTTGCGCGATTCTCAATCGCGATCAAACTCGATCATTTCGATATACATATAACGTCTGCTTGACTTATTAGAAGAAAGAAGATTACGTCGGAAAATGTGTGTATGTGTATTTATGTGTATGTGTTTCTCGCCCTTGCTCTCTTTTTCTTTTTTTTAAATTTGACGTGTTTTTTGTGTGTGATCGGTTATTTTCGTTATCATGGATTTCTTTAAAGTACAATCGGCCGTGCGCATGGATAAGTCCGAACCGAGTCCGAGATGTTATCACGTGCTTCTTTTTCCCCTTATATATATGCATATAGCGGTTTCTCCGTTCGTTCGAAAAAGAGCGCTCTTTTCAGCATTTACGTTTCTCCCATAGGAGAGTTTTACCGATTCAATTGTACGAAATCTGCGTTGCGAGACTTTTGGTTTGATTTCGATTTGACTGGGCGCGAAAAGCACGTACACAGCGCTGTTCAATTTTTTTTTGTAAAAATTGCACAGAATTGATAAAATTTTCGTCGAAAACTGTTTAATCTTTTATATGGTATAAATCTAGTGGTTTTAATACGATTGCATATTGCGAATTTAATAAAATGCTGCGCATTCGTTAGATGAATTATAAATTGAGTATTTGAATTTTTTCCGTCTCGTAGATCGCGAAAGAATAGAGTAATTTGAATAGCAAAAAAAATGTGTTCAAGATGATTTAAGGTATTAAAAAATTCTGTAGATGAGAATTAAAAAAAAGAAATATCGTGTGATATGAAAATTATGACTGTAAAATGTTCAGTCAATAAATCTCGCAATGATACTTTACAAAAAACTTGCATTATTAAACATCTTTTGTGTCATAAATGTCAGCGAAGAAATTATGAGCTTTCTTGAAAAGATCTTAAAAACATTTCAATTAATGAGTATTATAAACATTTCTTTAAAAAATGATACAATTATAGTTGTAGTTTTTATCGAAATGTGATCACTTGTTTTGATTATAATAGAAGTCACTAATATATTATTCATGAAAGACGCACGAGAAACATATTCCGAACATTGACATTTATCCGATCGATAAAAATAGCCTGCCTTCAATAACGAGTGAAACATGTAAATGAGGACGTTTGCGGCAAAAAAAATGAATTATTATCCTTCAAGTTGAGAAACAGTTGAGGCGCGATTAGTAAACAGTTTATTATAGTAAAAGAAAAAACCAAGAAAAAAAGAACTATTTCTTTCAACTATATTTCAAGTCGTTTTCACGTGAAAACGAGCTAAAGTCTTAAAGTGGAAGTCCTAGAAGGATACATGCTGAAGTTGAAAATCTGTAGTCTCTCGAGATGTCCGCGCGTAAACGCAGTGTTACGTAAACACGGCGGTTGCGGTTTTCAACATTACTGGGATATTGAGCATCTGTCATAATAATACTTGTAACACGATAAAGGCTAAGTTCTCCATAATACAATTATAAATTAACGTGACAATTCAAGGGGAGCAAAAGTGAAATGAATCCATCATTTGTAGAGATCCTCTTTCAATACGACTGCACACATTTTAAGTGGACCACACAATAATATACCTATTTCAATTCTCTATCCTAGAACTTTCATTAAAAAAAAAATTTATCTTAGAGTCTTAAATTATAATTCACTGGACTTGACCGTTTAACGAAGTGTTATTGCAGAATAATCTCTGTTTGTGGAGCATAACGATATTAACAAACTCTTCAGATTCTCGTGCAGACATAATATACGTACGAAGGCATACGGAAATCGATGTGTTTCGACTTGACTTAGAAGAGCGTTAATGTTTAACGAGCCTTGCTTGCGCCTTTTTATTTCATTTCACCGCAAGAATAATAAAGATATCCTAGAAAGGGCACATGGTTAAATGTAAAAATGTAATTTTAACGTCGATAATAATACTCGTAAATATTACGAACGGCCATCAGAAGAGATCCTGCCATTCCCGGCCTTCGATATTTTCCCATTGGTCGTCTTTCTTTTTTTTCCTTCTTTTCTCATAGCTTCGCATTTTACGTAATGAACGAGAGAAAAAAGTAAAAAATAATATATAACAAAAAAAAAAAAGAAAAAAACAACAATGGACAACCACGATTATATCGTCGTTGTCGTCGTCGTTTCATTTCGCGACGCGATGTGTATAAGTAGATCTTCTTTCGTTATAATAATTTAATGAGAGTCGTTTATTAACGTGACGCCTCACGACGCGCGATTTCCATCTTTTCCCTTCTCAATATTGTATATTGGAGAGTGTATCGATAAAATTGCGGTTTCTCAATATAATATAATATTACCTTCCTAAAATACGGTCAAATCACTGCCGCGAGCAGCAATTCCGAGGCACTACGAACAGGCCACAGAGAATATGGCCGCACAATTATCATCTTCAGATCTCTGTGTCTCTAAAATGACAAAAGACTAACTGTAGAACACCTAATACGTAATCGTAATTATGCTAACGCATCTCGTCGTCTCTAGACTCATTAATGTAATGTACAATAATTAGAGAGATCACACGTCTTAATATAGAAATTTTAAAAGATTATTCTCTAGTACGTTGAAACCACCCTCCTTTCTACTCTGTTTTTTTTTGCTCTTCACTTAAGTATTGCCACAAAGTGTTTTCTTTTTTTTTGTTTTTTTTTTACTTCCCTCCTCTTCTCTTTCTTAAGAGTGATGATGATAATTCTCCGAGATGTGAGCGGACCCGTGTATGGTCCTTCAAAGTCTTTTCTTTACCTTGAGCTATGCGCTATCGTCTACGCTACTTAAACCGCTAAACTCTACTGTGTGTCTCAGCCTTCTTCCACGTTCCCTCCTCTTTCTTTTTCTTTTTTTTTGTTGTGTCTCGCGTACTCGCTTACCTAGTTTTTTTGTTTATATCAGCACCAATCTGATTTTTTTTAAAACCGATTCAAAATATCGTCATATATATAGTTAGAATATAATATAACCTGTCGTATAAATATACATTCAAATATTACTATAGTATACAAGAGTCGCGCGCACCCTCCTTCCACCCTTTCCTTCGCGCTGCATCGCGATACATCGTCGATTCTTGACCCGATCTACCCGAAAGCTATGGCTCAGCACAGTATGGGAGGATACGTCGTCCTCGTAAATTCTAACTATAATCTCTCGCGTCTTTCTTCTTCCGCTCTGTCATATCACCCCCGCCCCCCACCCTTTATATCTTCTTTCTCTCACCCTCTTATTCTCGATACTCTTTTTTTTTTCTCTTCATTCGCACTCAACCGCACATTCGCACACACTCGCATACTTCACCTTTCTCCGTCGTGTTTTCTCTTCTTCTGCTTCTTCTTCTTCTTCTTCTGCTTCTTCTTCCTCCTCCTCCTGCCGCTGCTCCTCTTCTTCTTTGTTTGAAGTGAACGGCTTTACATATTTACAGGCATTCTTCACGTGGTCGTGTATAAGCGCGCTTCCCTTAAAGAAGCACAACATATCTTTCTCTCTCTCTCTCTCTCTCTCTCCCTCTCATTCTCGCGAAACATTTTAAAACATAGGCAAGTTAAATATTGTATCACAATCATTTTAGTCTGGTCGAAATCGAACATCTTCAACCCGTTTGGCGATACGTGGCGTATTTTGAACGAAACTGCGAACTGCGGCGAACACACTCTTGTCAATCTCTTCGAGAATTCGCCTACGCGCCTCGCGGGGGGTGAGGGAGGGAAAACAAGAGCCCCGAACTCTCTAGTGCTTACTCCCTCGAAAGAAACGCGAGAAGGTACGTCGTGTGATCGATTAATCATAAAAAAAATACGTACGGAGAAACAGACGAGACCCTTCGTTGGTCGCTTTACCTTGGTCTCTGGCTAATGAGTTGGCTCGACGGTGAGCGGCGGCCGGTTTTTCCCGAAGCTATACGTTCTCCTCTCCTCGTCCCTCGTGCGAGATCGACGGCTTGGCGATGCGGATCAGTAGCGGACAATGACGGAATCCTTTGAAGATGAAATCTTAATCCGACGCGCTATATCATAGAGAGCGAATCGCGAGGAAGTAACGAATCATGGCATCGCGATCTCGCGGATACCGTAAACGAGAAAACGTCGCGAGTAATATATACCTGAGCGAGTATAATTGCGCATTATCGTGTTGCCACTCGGTAGCAAAAATGCAAGGATATACGCACGAATATATGTAGGAGGGAACTCGATGTCCTCCCCTTGCTTCCCAAACAACGCAAAAATCGATTCGTTTCGCCTCTCCGTTTGTGGCTAGAATTTTCGAAAGACTTGATGATCCGACAAAACAAGAGGAGCGAGGAAAAACCGACCGCCGAGTTCTCCCCGTCGAGTTCCGGGACTAGCTGGCGACGCGTTCCGAGGCTCTGCGAGTTGTGAAACGGCGAAAACAAAGAAGAGAAGACAAGACAAAACAAGACAAGACAACCCTAGTAAATGCACAGTGATAAATCAGTCACGGGTAGTGTTGCTGGATCGGCTGCTGGCCGCATCGGTTGTTGGCGGCGGCGGCAGCAGCGGCGGCGGCGGCGGCGGCGACGATCGCGTTCGACGTCGCGTCGGCCTCCAACGCGGCGGCCGGGCCGAAGCAGCGCTGAAACCTCAGCGCGGGGATTCCTGCTTGCTAGTAGGCGGCAGGATGGACGGTTAGTCACTGCGGCGGCAGACCGGTCGGCGGCTTGAATTCGCCGGTTACGGATACCCCGTTCGCCTGGGCGCCGGGAAATTGCGCGGTCGACACCGGCGGCTGGTGATTGAACGCGGGCGCGTAGCACTGCGGGAAGTAGAGCTCCGGCTTGACGACCGTGGGCGTGAGGGTACCGCGGGGCACCGGCACCGGGCCCAGACCCGCGGGCGTGCCGGGCGGCTTCGTGTCGCCGCTCGAGTTCCGACGCACCTTGGCCGCGTGCGGATTCATGTGGTTGTCGATGTGCTTCTTCACCTCGGGCTCGGTGGCGAAACGCCGCCTGCAGTTCGGCATCGGGCAGCAGAACGGCCGATCGCCCTGATGGGTGCGCGTGTGCTGATCTAGAATCGCCTTCTGACGGAAGTCCTTGCCGCACTGCTGACACTTGTACGGCTTCTCGCCCGTGTGAATGCGCAGATGCTGATTCAGGATCGTGCGCTGACGGAAATTGCGCCCGCAGTACACGCAACCGTACGGCTTCTCGTTCGTGTGGATACGCAAGTGTTGCGTTAGATGGGACTGTTGGCGGAACCTCTTGCCGCACTCCGGGCACGGATACGGCCGCGACTCGATGTGTATACATCCGTGCTGTAGCAGGGTCGACTTCTGCTTGAACTCCTTCTGGCAGATCGGACAGCGCACGTACAGCGGCATCCCGGCCGAACGGCCGTGCTGTATCACATCGGGTAGACAGCTCTTCGTGCCGCCCTGCTGCTTGATGTACTGCAGAGCGCCGAAGCTGCCCGGACCGCCCGCGCCGAAGACCGTGTGATTGCCGCCTTTCGGATCCTTGAAGTAAGCGGGGTACTGGATGGAGTTGGCGTCCGGCGCCGGACTGAACGCGCCCGACTGCGTGTCCGTGTCGCCGAACGTCGACGCTACCTCTTCCTTACCTTCCTCGGGCGGAAAGGGAACGTCCTGCGGCCAGAGAGTCGGTGTCATCCCGTTCTTGAAGATGAGGTGCGGGCTCACGTCTGTAACGAAAGTACGGTCCACGTTCATCGGCGGTATTCCACGGCGGACGGAATAAGAAGGAAGAACGTTAGTCCGGTAGTTTTAATGAGAGAAAATTGTTGTAGCGCGCGAGAGTCGAGAAGTGCGTGGCGTTAAGAAATCGCTCGAGCGAGAACACCCAGGCAACACAAACGTCCGAGAAAAACGTCTAAAAAAGACACTCTACTCCTGATTCATTCCGCGGGTTCATTTACACGTCTTTTGGACTTTTGTGCTGTTTGGGAAGCTATACACCATAGATTTCCAATTTTCTTACGCGCAATTCCCAAAGTGAAAGTTATTAAGCAGCGATAGGTGCGCGAGAAGAAACGCAGTAGTCGCTGGCAGGCCGATGTGGACATCATCAAGAGTATCGCGAGAAACTAGAGTTATTAGAAGAGGGCTGGTGGATTTAGACGACTCGGATCGCACTCGGGGATCGGGAGAGAAAGAGGAAAAGACGTAGAAGGGAGGCGGGGACTGCTCTATCTCACAGCTCACCAGCGTTTTCGCGTCCAGCTCAACCGTTCTTACCCGCCGGTTGGCCTTAGCGGCAACGAGGCCGATACGACGATACCGGCAAACTGTCTCCGATAAATCGTCGCTAGAAGTTAGTTTCCGAGATTTTTCAAAGAGAAAACACGGTGTGTATTTGATAGGCTGGTGAGGGATACAGGTGATATAGACCAGTGGTGAATTTACCCCGTTTTTATTTACAGACCCCAACACACATATCGTCCTGTGAATTTTTACAATTATTTCTTATTTCCCGAGCTCTAAATCCGCCACTGGTACATCATACACTCTGGACAGGTGAGAGAATCGAGTATGAATCGTTAGTATATGCGGGTTATTGTACCGCCGGCGGTAATGAAACGTGGTAGATTATAATGACGACGATGACGATGATGCCGATGGTGACGGTGGCGACGGCGGTTGCGATAGTAATGAGTTAGAACCGGTGGGTGGGTCAGTGTTTGGTTGTGATGGACGCCCTCTGGGGAGTCTGGGAGGCAGAGAGAAATGCTCGCCTTGGTGTGTGCGGACGTGCTGATTCAGGATCGCCTTCTGACGGAAGTGTTTTCCGCACTCCGGACATTGGTATGGCTTCTCACCCGAGTGGATGCGCAGATGCTGGTTGAGGATGGCGCGCTGCCGGAACGTACGCTCGCAGTAAACGCAAGCGTACGGCTTCTCGTTAGCGTGTATGCGCAGGTGCTGCGTGAGATGGGATTGTTGCCGAAACCGCTTGCCGCACTCCGGACACCCGTACGGCCGGCTATCCGTGTGGATCCGCTCGTGCTGCAGCAGAGTCGACTTCTGTTTAAAGTCTTTGCCGCAGGTCAAACACTTGAACAGCCGTAGATCGCTGTTGCCGGACTTGGACGATTTGCCGCTCTGCTGCACGATGTCGGGCAGCCCGGTCGCCATGTTGGGCGCGCCCGGACTCGCGTACTGATGCGCGTCCAAGCCGGGCCCGCCGTCGCCCTGGCCGAGGGACGTCAGCATTACCCCGGGTTGTTTCAGATAGTGCAGCGCGGAGAAGCCGCCGGGGGTGAGCATATGAGGTGGCACGGACGGCGAGGGATGCGGCCGAGCCTCTTTGAAGTAATGTTGCGGATACTGTTGCAGTTCCCCGGCACCGGGGAAACAGTCGCTGCGGTCCACATCCGCGTGAGGAGTCAATTGTTGCTGCGGCGAGTGATCTTGTTGTTGCGTTTGCTGCTGCTGTTGAGGCGGCTGCTGTTGAACTTGTTGCTGCTGTTGCTGCTGCTGCTGCTGCTGTTGTTGCTGCTGCTGCTGCTGCTGTTGAACTTGCTGCTGCGTTTGTTGCTGCTGCTGCTGCTGTTGTTGGGATGTTGCCTGACTCGATTGTATGTCATCGTCCGGTGGAGTCAAGGACTGAGGCTCGGGAGGCGCCGAGGGATACGGTGAGGGCACAGGCGATGCTAAAGAGGGCGGGGGACCGTTCTCGCTACCCTCCACGGGAGGACCACAGGCCTGCTGTGGACTCCCCGACGAAGAGGAACCCTGTTGCTGCTGCTGTTGCTGTTGTTGCTGCTGCTGCGGATACAGTCCGCCGTCCTGGAGAGATCCCGGCCCCGGGCCCCACTGCCCCTGGGGTCTCTCCATATTATCTTTGTACAATACGTAGGGCGCGCCAGTATCTGAAAGTAGATAATGCAGAAAAGAGTTTGCGGTTAGCATTCAAAATGTTAAATAAATGTATGTGCAAAAAGCGCGTTAAAAGAGATAGAAACGCGAGATACTCGGTCATTACGTTTACATTTTATATTCCCGCGTGTACGCTCGAGTAGGGTAATTTGAATATAGACGGAAAGGGTGCTCGCAAAATAGGAGATTCAATTCTGCCGATGTATTCTTTCACCGCTCTTGATCAAGCCTGAAATTACTCGGAATTGGGTCAAGAAGCGCAGATCTTTAGAATCTTCGATCTCAGAATGCGCATTCTAGAATATCGGGATCGTGCCACGTTCCCAGTCACGCATGGTTAGACACGTCCGGTTCACGCTTCACAAGTTCAATCGCTGTTATGCAGGTCGAATCTTCGAGCTGCGTATATATATCACACTGATATAATTTAGAATAATAATCGTATCCTGAAGCCTTGAGAATTTTATCCTTGAACGGTCGAATAAGACAGAATCAATCTGTTCTTCCTTTCTTCGTATTTTCGTTAATTTTTTTTAAATATGCAGATAACAAAGGCGCAGTTATAATTAATCGAAAATAAGAGACGAACGCCGAAGGGAAAGTAATATCATATCGCGAGCAGAGTTTTTAATTAAACTTCACCATGAGCTTATAATTATTTAAGACGTATTGTCTCTCTCTCTCTCTCTCTCTTGCCCAATCAGTATTATCGCGCGCAATTACATCCCGAGGAATAAGACATCTTTAGGCGTTTTACGATTACGGAATTTGTATTACGCAATCGCGAGACATTCCTCCTCCTCTTATCGGACACTAATTATATCGGACTTCATTTTCTCTTATTTGTCAAACGGATTCGTCACTTAATTTGCATTTCGCGTGGCCCGCCCAAAACGATTTTAATTTCTGCATGCTACGTCAAATGACTCATCCGATATATTATAATGTTTCTTCCGCGGCAAAAAGTGTAACAAACATTAATTTATTAGAAACAAAGAAATGTATCATTCAAATACATGTACCAAAAAAAAAAAACAAAACGCAAAGTAAATCGACGCATGTGACGAGTGTGATTAACGCTATATATTGACAGACAACGATAAAAAAATCTAGGTTTATACTCGTTAGCGAAGTTCATGCGTACAAATCGCGATACAAATTTGCGACGAAGAAAAAAAATACAAGAGAAGTCATATCGATACACGTCGTTCGTTTGCACGTGAATCAACCGGTATTTATAACTAATCGTTTTTTATTTCATCACATTTATATACCTCGTTACATAACAGTTGTTTGTGGAGATAAGTGCGATCCATGCACTCGTGCGTCAAGATTAGTTTATTGCGATTCCAAGTTTATCCCGTCGCGTAATCGCATTTAACTATTCCGGGAATCTCCGGGGAGCGATAATGTTATAACGCTCCCGTTATCACGGTTAAGAGAAGAGTGACCGGTCGAAAAGTGACGCTAATGCGATATTCGCGCTCGAAGAGAGAGTGTCATTAATATAACTCTGCATATAATTCCCGCCATTTCCTCCCGCGATTCGGCGGCGTGTGCTTTTAAAAGCCGCGTCGTTTTGCCGACACCGCTCTTCCCTCGTTTCTCCTCGATCGAACGTGAAGAAAATTAAAGGGCTCTTCGAAATCTCGAATGGCACCGAAAAGATTTAAGCGATTGTGTATATACGATTTGGACAGCAGTCGTGTATATCAACGTAAATATTTTCGTATCGGTTTCCTTTTATCGAGATGTATCGCACATAATCCATTCTGCTATTAGAAAAAAGAGACTATGACGTTATTCGTGGTAATCTGCTATCGAGGACCGACTTATTTCGAGATATCTGTCAAGAGTATCGCTCTACGTCTCATTAAACTCAATCTCTGTCCAGCAACACTTAATTACGACCAGAATCTCCGAGTAATCGTCCAAATTTTCTTTGCACGTCGGAAGTCGTTTGCTATATATCGCGCAAAAAAGAGTTCTCTATGACTGCACTTTATATACACCTATGATAGCTGATAGCCAGGATAAAAATATCAAAAATTGAATCGGTGGAATAAAATGAAAAGTTTCTCTCGTTTGCTCCAATATAAGATGAGTTTGGAGGATATTATAATTAATATGACAATAATAGCCATAATTACCGTCGTAATAATAATAATAATTTACTCAGCCGATCATTCGATTTCAGGCGGGAAATTAACACTTGCAAAAAAAAAAAAAAAAAAAATGCGCAAAAGAAACAAAGAGAGAAATTAGTTTCTTCTCCATTGGGAGAATCTTTTCCGGCATCGAATCGTTCAAGAAGTAGACGAGTGTTCTTAATGATAAATTGCATTAAAGAAAAATCTCCGGATTGTTCTTTCTCTCGCATTCGCGTGAATAAACATTGGTAAGCGTTGATATAAACTTTGCAAGTTTTATACCAAACAGTTCGACCGAGCTTTAATGAGAGACGATCCACTTATAACTTTACCAAGTAAGCAGTCTTAAGATCTCGCTGTTGATTTTGACGCGCGTTATGTTTCACAAATCACGTAAGGATAGTTGGTATTTAGAAAGAGGAGTTTCATACACGAAAGAATCATATTTACAAATGAATGTATCGCTGAAGATTATCACAAAATAATATTACAAAGATTATCATACATTATATTAAATCTTTTCACCTTCGAAAGTTAATAAGTCGAACGATCAACGAGTTTAAGATTTCAATATTAACATAAATTAAATATTCGCGTGTAAGTCAAAGCTTAGAAATTTATGTAAATTAAATATATTCGTAATGTTCTGTTATACAAATATTCATGTTTTTAATGCACAAGACAGACAGCAAAACTGCAAATTTGGCACATTGTTAATTTTGTATTAATTTTTATATCGGAAAATTTGAAGCTTGTCACTAAAATAATTTTTTTTAAATCTGTGTTGCAATTTCATCCGACAGACATGGGATAGTGCTTGTTCGATAGAGTTGCATTGTTATATAAATGGTTATAACGAGAAACGCACGTATATCAGGAAATCTCTGTTTAATGACATTTTGTTCATCGCGACCGGTTTATCAATCAAGTATTTAATAAGGCGAATCATAAGCTTCGATATTATTTTATTCCTATTTATATTTTTATTTCAACGATTTTTATTAATTCTTTCAATTAATACTCCAATACATTACGTAAGATTAATGTAAGAAATAAATCACTGGGATGAATTTTCCATTAATTACGTTCACTCAATACTCTCTAAAAATGTATAAAATTTTTTTTAGCATATTTAAAAACACGGCATAAATTAATATTTCATTTAACATTAATATCTCTTTCTTATTTCAAATTAGAGCAAGAAATCAAGAGAGATGGACACTTGGATATAGACTCGGTAACACTTGTATCAACAAAAATCGGAAAGAAATCTTGGAAAGAAATTACACGAGCGTACCGATGAAAGGCAAAAAAAAAAAAGATGAAGATGTAATCGCATAGTTATATTAAGACGATATACGCGAAGAGATCGCAGAGAAAATAATAATTCAAACAGATCAATCTTTTGGTAAAGTTGATATCGATCTTCTTTTAATCGAAAAATGTCAATATATTCGAGAAATATGCGGCGATGCTCGGTGAAAGGTTCAATTATGCAAACTCCTGGGAAGTTCTAAAATTCTCTTTCGCGCGGTATAATATTATTTTATCATCGTTTGACGAATGCGTTTCTCGCCAAGTGTCGCCTATATCATTGATTTTTCGGCAACAAGCATAGGACTGCACTCCGGCGGGCGTCTTTACGATTTGTTTTGGCTGCGAGAAACGCATAAAGCGAAGCCGGGAGAACTATAGCTAACATCGGTAGGAAGTGAGAAAGAGAGGAGAGATAGAGAGAGAGAAAAAGATGGATAGAGAGAAAGATAGAAAGAGAGCAGGATAGAAAGAGAAAGAGAGAGAGAGATGGCCCGTGGCTGCACATGCGCGCTTTTTTCGCGTCGGGGGACCAGCATTTTTAAAGATTTTTCCTGCCGCGGTGGCTCTCTCGCAGATTTAAGTCGCCAGGTCGATCCCGTCGATTCTCGAGTGGTGTGAGAATCAAATGGTGTGTTGCTACCACGGGCAAACAATCGAAAAACTCGCTTTGCGTTACGGGGGCTTCGCGAAACCGGTATAATTTCGACGAGGTCAATTCCCTAAGCTGCAAACAAAAGTGCGAAATGCGTCAACTTTCTTGCGTCCGTCGTCGCGACGTTGTTTATTAAATATATAAAAATATACAGATTAAAAGGGTTAAAATCTAAAAATTTTAATAATTATATTCTCGCGACAACATCAAGAGTCCGATAAACTAGATTCCTGGGGAAAAAAACCATCGGGACAGATTTTGACAATTTTTGCACACGAGTCAATGAGAATTAATATTTGATGATAACATCGATGTTGTCAGGGGATGAAACAAAACATGGAAGCGATATCAGTTTTACGAGAATTGGAACGACTTTCAATTCTCATGGAGGTGCTGCATCGAGTTGAACGAAAGAAGAAAATTGAGACTCGATCTTTTTCTTCGTACACTTCGCATCTGTACAAAATCGCGAAATAACTGGAGTGTCTTTGATTCGAAAGCGCGGATTTAATTGAGCGGGTGAAAGCGACTTTGTGGGCTCAAAGTGAAGGCGCTGTCTCCGATATGCGTATATACAATAAAAGAAAATATTAAAGGAGAAAATCCGATCTATATAGTGTTAGATGGACAGGTTTTTGCGCGCTTTGCTTGACAGAAAAGCCCGCGACATATTTCGTCTCGTGTAACACCTCGTATAACAATTCACGTTTTTCATTCGTCTGATTATTGGAACTCGCGGTTTCTCCAAATTGTCCCCATATCGCACACAATGCTCCTCGGAGAATCTCAGATTTCTAACGGATTGTCTTCGCAGGAGCGCAGGCGAAAGCACAAAATCACGCGACGTACGTCGTTTTCTGTCATTCGAGCCTTC